CTGTGTGTAGCAGCTGTGTTCTGGGAATGGAATTTTGCTCTGGGAATGGAATTCCACTCTGGGAGTGGAATTCCATTCACAGAACACTTCTGCTACTCCCAAGGACTGTCATTCCACTCTGGGGGACTGTCGTTCTAGTCCCAGAGTAGTCTATCTGGACCCAGAAACCAACAGAAAACCCATTCCGCATTTTCTTCGCATCTTTTTTTGAGCTGCAGTGTATTTCAATGGAGTGGACCTCAAATAGTTTCAGTTTCCAGTGTTTGTACGCTATCTGAAGTCTCCTTGCAAATAAAGGGCTAATGTTTTGAGCCAGCTTGTCTCTGCTGAATGGACCTGAGAACAGGTGCCTGAGTGAGTACCCACAGCCAAAGGAGGACATTACACTGGAGAGCCACTGCCATTCTGAGTAGAACTGGGGAGGGGAGCTTGCAATGCCCAGCCATTTCATGTTTTCCTAGGCTCAGGGCATTTTATATTTTTAGTTTTTATTTTTAGTTTCTGCTGTGACCCTTATGCTTTTTCTTGATGTTTTATTTTTAAAAATTGCATTGCCAAATCCCACTATCCCCCCACCTTTCCATTTTAGGTAGGCATCTTTTAAGGGTGTGGGGGGGAGGTCTGAGAGGTGTCAGTTATCAAAGACTGTTAAATAAACAAAATATGGCAAGAGTGTTACTGTTTTAAGCATGTTGGCATTTTAAGTTAAAAAATTTTTTAACTGTGTTTGTCTGTGTCCTTTATAAAGTTAATATCTCTGCTACCTGGCACTACATTTTTTGACACACATGGCCCGGTCCAACAAGGTCCCATTTATGTCAGCTCCAGCCCTCTTAACAAATGAGTTTGACACCCCTGCTTTATAGGGTTTAACCAAAAAAAATGTGTTAGGATGGGTTTTGAAAGGGATGAGTAGAAGGAAGGTCGAGAAAGAGACAGAATGGAATAATGGAAGGAAGGCCTTGGCTTCATCTGCTTTTGTTTGTGTAAGATAAACAAATTATCTTGGTATTATATCTGATACGTTATTTATTTATTTATTTATTTATTTTTACCCCGCCCTCCCCACCGAGGCAGGCTCATGGCAGCTTACACAAGAACTAACAGGTAAACAGCAATACAAATATTAGTATAAAATACACATGTTGACTTCCGGTGGATGGCGGCACGTTGAGCAATTGCATCTCCCAGACCTCCCGGGGATGCAAGCTGCGCACAAGCGGGAAGGAGGGGGTACGCAGGCTCGTTGCCCCCCAAGAGGCCAGGCAAAGGGCTTCTAGCCATGGGGCTTTTGAGAGGTCGCCTCTTCGCCAGTGCAATGCTGGGGAATTGAGGTGCCTCTTCGCCCCGATGGTCCCTCCTGCGAGTGTCCGTATGGAATCTAGTGACGCTGACCGATACAAGCGCTGGGGATCGAGCGGTTGAATGAGAGACTAAGCGAAGTCAGAAGACCAATATGAACGTGAGTCAGAATAAAGCATCTATGACAATTTAAAAAGAAAGCTCCCCACCCCACGGACCGAGAAGTGAAATGAGCGGGGGGAGGGGCTCCTCCCATGCACACGAACTTTTAAGCGAAAAAATGGGGGGGGGGAGCGGAAGCGTTGAAATCTGTTGAGAAAAACTTACCAAGGTGTGTATAAGCGTTTGAGCGCACATTCAGAGACTTTAGAAACTGCGGCGAAAGTAAACAATCGATAAAAGATGGCAGGGAAGAGGACTGAGAAGGAGAAACTTTTAAAAGCGAAAGGGGAGAGTCCAAAACTGGAAGGAACCACCGAGCTGGCTAAAATGTTGGCAGAATCTCTGTGCCCCCTGATGGAACAGATGACTAACGTCAAGGAACAGTTGTCTACAATGACCAAATGTATCACCACCCAGCAAGCACAAGTGAATGAGACCCTTAAAATTACAGAGCAAACAGCCGAGAAGGTGAAAGAAGTTGATGCCACTACTCAAAAGGTGAAAAAAAAGGTAGAAAAATTGGAAAAGAAGCAAGTCTCAACAGAAGAACAACTTTTACAGCTGCAAATGGAGAAGGCAAACTTGGTTCTCCTATTCCAGGGTGTCCCAGATTCTAAAGGAGAGAATCTGAAGCAAATGCTGAGCGAAGCATTAGCCCCGGTTACAAATTTGACGATGGAGTACTTGATGAGCGAAATGGATGTGGCCTATAGGTCATATTCCGTATATATAAAAAAGAATAATCTGCCTGGGGAAATAGTAATGAGATTCTCAAAGAGACATGTAAGGGATACTATCCTGAGAGCGATGACGGGGACAACCTTGAAAATCAGGGACAGCACCATTAGGATCCTTAAAGACATCCCATTTGAAATAAGACAAAGGAGAAGGAAATACAAAGACTTAATCCTTTTTCTTCAAACAAACGCAATCAGCTATCGGTGGCTGTATCCAGAGGGTGTAACCTTCAAACTTCAAGATAAAAAGTAAAATATAGATTCTGTTTCCAAAGCACGGGACTTTTTGAAAATCCAGATGGGTGAGCAAGAGAAAGGCGATAAAGAGGACAGTAAGTCCAGTGGCGAGCTGGACTCGGGGTCTTCTGGAAAGGACTCTCTGTCAGAGAAGGGAGCAGCGGCTCCTAAAAGTCCTTATAAACTGCAAAGAAGACAGGATAAGAAGAAATGAAGGCTGAAGGACTCTGTAGTGTGCCTTTGAAAAGGGTTGATTGTAATGAGATGCTTTGGGGTTTTTCTTTTTAACAGTTAATTTAAGATTCAAAAGTTGTAATAGTAGACCTGACTAAGTTCAAAAAATTGTTAGCGAGCTTAGAACTGACTTTGTACTTAAGAGATTTTGAGGATCTCCTCTCCTGGGATTTTAGATAGTAGTGGGTTTTCTTTTCTTTATCCCAAATTGTGGTTCCCTTCCCTCATTTTCGTTGTAGATTTGTAGTCTTTAGAAAAGTGCAATTAAAAAAATCCCCTTCGGGGGGCCCCCAAAAAATTTACACACGTTATTAAAAGCAATTAACAAAACTATGGCAGTATCATTACAATAAAGTGCACTTATCGGTCCATCCACTGTCAGCGGGCTCAGGCTGGAAATAGGTTGACACGGGGTACAGATGATAACACAACTCCTACCTAAATGCCTGGCAAAAGAGCTCCATTTTCGTGGCCCTGCGGAACTGTGCGAGGTCCCGCAGGGCCCTGATCTCGTCCGGGAGCTCATTCCAGTAGGTTAGAGCTGCTAAAGAAAAGCCCCTGGTCCTGGTCATTACCAGCCTGACATCCTTAGAACCGGGGGCAGGGGGACGATTTTGCGACCCTGACCGTAGTGCTCTCTGGGGAACGTGTGGGGAAAGGTGGTCCCTCAGGTAGGCAGGTCCCTGACCATAAAAGGCTTTAAAGGTCAAAACCATCACCTTGAAGCGAATCCAGTATGCTGTTGGCAGCCAGTGCAATCCCTTCAGCGCAGGCTGGATGTGTTCTCGCATAGAGAGGCCCCTCAACAGCCTGGCTGTTGCATTTTGCACCAGCTGCAGCTTCCGGAGTTGCGCCAAGGGCAGCCCCATGTAGAGAGCATTGCAGTAGTCCAACCTTGAGGTGACCATTGCGTGGATCACTGTAGCCAGATCATTGCGTTCGAGGAAGGGAACCAACTGCCTAATCAGCCGTAGATGGTAAAAGGCAGTGGCTGCTACCTGGGCCTCCATTGTTAAGGAGGCATCCAGGAGCACTCCCAAACTCCTGATCCTCAGCGCTGGCACCAGTGGCGCCCCATTGAAGGCCAGTAGTGGGATCCCTAACCCCAGTCCGCTCCGACTCAGGTACAGGACCTCCGTCTTTGTCGGATTCAATTTCAATCGACTCAGACTAAGTCATCCAGCCATGTCCTGTAACACCCGGTCCAGGTCTTCCGGGGTAGAGTCGGACTGACCGCCCAACAGCAGATATGTTCCAGGTCCGCTCTTCACATATACTCCTGGAGTTACCCATGTAGCAGACTAGGCAGAAGAATCCAGAGGCGATAGTGTGGGCCACTCCTTTCCAGACTGCAGTTAGCTCGCATTGCCCCCACAAGCAGAAAACTAGCTCTGCAGGGGGAGGGCTAGGCAAGAACTTTACAGCCGTCTACTCCCTATAAGGAAGGCCGAGTGCCGAAGAATAGATTCTTTTGAACTATGGTGCTGGAGAAGACTCTTGAGAGTCCCTTGGAGTGGACTGCAAGAAGATCAAATCAGTCCATCCTAAAAGAAATCAACCCTGACTGTTCCCTGGAAGGCCAGATAATGAAACTGAATCTCAAATACTTTGGCCACCAAATGAGAAGGGAGCACTCACTGGAGAAGACCCTGATGCTGGGAAAGATTGAAGGTCAAAGAAGACGGGGACGGCAAAGGATGAGATGGTTGGACAGTGTCATCGACGCAACGAACATGAAATTGAGCCAACTTCAGAGGACAGCGGAAGACAGGAGGGCCTGGCGGGAGTTGGTCCATGGGGTCGCGAAGAGTCGGACTCGACTGTGCGACTGAACAACAACAACAACTCCCACCCCCATGGAAGGATTAAAAACAGTTCTTCCCAATCTGAAGAAGGGCCGCCCCACTCTATCACTTCAAGATTCTACTTCCTCATTAGTCCGCATGCATTTCTGGCCTTCGAAATTCAATTTGGAACTCCTTTCCAATCTGACTTTTCTGTGGCTTCTGGAATTTTGGAAAATGGTGGAAGGAGCCCTCCCCTCCACACCTTCCGCTGGCATCTTTTCTCAGAAGGAAAGCCATGAGACCTAGGGTTGCCCGCTCCAGGTTGGCAAAACCCTAGAGATTTGAGGGTGGAGCCTGAGGAGGGGGGGTTTGAGGAGGGGGGGGACTTAACATGGGGTACAATGCCATGGCGTCCACCTTCCAAAGCAGCCATTTTTCTCCAGGCGAACTGATCCATGTCGTCTGGAGACCAGTTTGTAATGGCAGGAGACCTCCAGCCACCACCTGGAGCTTGGCAACCCTAATGAGACCCAACACTTACTTCGGATTCTATAGTGTCTTGGCTGAAGACAGAGGTCCCTTGCACCATCAGGTATTTCTTCTGTTTGGCTAGGATGAGCTCGCGCGTAGCACAGATGGCTTGCAGGAAGTAGCAGATGCGCCCGACCCGACTGGTGAAGGTCGAGGGGATTCTGGGAGGCAGGATGAAGCTGAAGCTGAAACTGTGGACGCCGGGGTCCAGCCAGTTCCCTGTGGGCCGGAAGGAGACTCCTCTTACTCTCCCATACTTCTAGTTGTGCAAACAAAATGTATCCAATGGAGTCTGAGGTGCTTGGATGGAAAGCAAAACAGAATGTCTCTGAGCATGTACAGAGTACCTTTCCTCCCTCACCGATTGGCCTAATATGCTAATGAGCTTCTGCTGTTGGGGTGTGGCCTATTATGCTAATGAGTCCCTGCTGGGCTTTTTCTACAAAAAGAGCTCTGCTGGTTTGCCATAAATGGGCTGTGACTTAACGGCACATGCACACACACGGCTTCCTTTTCTCACAGGAGCTCCAGGCGGATTAATGAAGAGTGAGTCAGTACAATCAACAAAATGGGACATTCAGTAACCAGATGCATTAGAGTGGCAGACGTCGGGAACCAACCAGAAAGAACCGGAGCAGAGCATACGTATGAACATTAGACATTAAGTGGTGCAAAAATTACATAATAAGATCCTACTTACAATAAGCTGTACGTAGCAGTGTAGACCATGGCCACGAATCATTTCGCCCAGTAGGTTTGTGAATCATTTTGCACGGCACACAACCCTATGACCTGGGCAGGAAAGCCCTCTTGAATGATTCGGTTTGCCCAGTTTGTAGAATGCCAGACGAGAGGGGCCCCTCCTGATTTCCTTGGGTAGGCCATTCCATCAGGCCCATGCACAGATGTTTATACCTGCACACCAGAGAAGATCTTGCCTCCTGGCGCTAGATATTTAACTTATAGTTAAGACGCTGAACTGCAGACTGGAAGGTCGGCAGTTCGGCAGTTCAAGACCCGAGTGCCGCATGACAGAGTGAACTCCTGTCTCTGGCCCCAGCTCCTGCCAACCTAGCAGTTCAAAAGCAAGAAATTGCAAGTAGATAAATAGGTGCCGCTGCGGTGGGAAGGTAACAGCATTCCGTGCACCTCGGCGTCTAGTCATGACGGCCACATGACCACGGAAACGACTTTGGACAGTGCTGGCTCTTCGGCCTGGAAACGGAGATGAGCACCGCCCCCTAGAGTCAGATTTGACTGGCTTTCGAGCAAGGGAAACCTTTACCTTTACTACTATGAGCCCGCAGGTGTGTGGGAAAGAGCAATCAATAAATCAAAAGTATTATTATTATTATTATTAATAATAATAATAATAATAATAATAATAATGGTGACAGTGTTTCTCAAAGGGTTAGCTGTGTTAGTTATTTCCAGTCAAAACAATGGAGTCTTGTGGGAAACTTGTGGCCACGTAATAAGCGTTCACAGTCCCGGAATGACGAGTACCATTTTAAGGTGCCCCAGGAATCCTTGTTAACCACCATCATCATTATAATAATTATTTCCGAAGCACCCAGAAACGTAAGGCATGGCATAGTATACAACATAAACAGTGAGAGAGCCCTGCCTTGTGAGGTTTACAAGGCCGCCTTGGGCACACTTGGCAGAGAAAAGATTTGAACCCAGGACTTGTTGATTTGCAAGTCATTGCCTTAGTCATTCTGCTTCAGCTGCTGTACCCAAGACCCTCTGAACTGGATATGAAATTTGGGATCTTATGAATTAAAATTCAAGCACTCTGTCCCCCAAAATAGAACACTGTTTAAAAAAGGCATAATTAAAAAAAAACTAACTTCATTTATACCTCATATTTCTCTCCAATGGGGACCTAACACAGTTTATGTAATTTTCCTCCATTTAATCCTCACAACAACCCTGTGGGGTAGGTTAGGCTGAGAATGTGTGACTAGCCTAAGGTTGCTCAGCAAGCTTCCATGGCAGGGTGCGGATTTGAACTTGTGTCTCCTGGATTCATCCAGCACTCTAACCTACCACAATAGCTCTCTTAATACTATTCAATAATATTGAATACTAACCGGTTTGGTGTAGTGGTTAGGAGCGCAGACTCTAATCTGGGAGAATCAGGAATGATGATTCCTCACTCCTCCACGTGCAGCTGCTGGTGCGACCTTGGGTCAATCACAGTTCTCTCAAGAGCAGTCCTCGAAAGAGCTCTTTCAGCCCCACCTACCTCACAGAGTGTCTGTTGTGGGGAGGGGAAGGGAAACTGCTCTGAGACTCCTTTGGGTAGTGAAGGGTGGGGTATAAATCTCTTCTTCTTCCAATCTCTTCTTCTTCAAATGCTAAAGTACCCTAATTTCTTTTCTCTAAAACTATTTAATGGGAGATATTTTTTAAAAAATCTGGTCAGAATAATCCAAGATCTGGGCCAAAATACTCTAGTGCTTGAGGTAACCCAAAAGGTTCCTTCTTACAAGGTATCCTGTGGAAATTTTTCCTTAGGATACAGTGATATCAACTGCACATGTAAAAGCACTTAGATGGTAGGGTCCCAGAGAAAGGGGGACCCAATAGATATTGTTTACCTTGACTTCCAGAAAGCTTTTGATAAAGTTCCTCATCAAAGGCTCCTAAGTAAGCTCAAAAATCGTGGGATAAAAGGACAAGTCCTTTTGTGGATCAAAAACTGGCTAATTAGTAGAAAACAGAGAGTGAGTATAAATGGGTAGTTTTCTCAGTGGAGGGTGGTAAGCAATGGGGTACCGCAGGGATCAGTACTTGGTCCAATGCTTTTTAACGTGTTCATTAATGATTTGGAGTTGGGAGTAAGCAATGAAGTGGCTAAATTTGCGGATGATATGAAGTTGTTCAGGGTGGTGAAAACCAGGGAGGATTGTGAGGCACTCCAAAGGGATCTGTCAAGGATGGGCAAGTGGGCATCAACATGGCAAATGGGGTTCAATGTGGCCAAGTGCAAGGTGATGCACATTGGAGCCAAAATCCTAAATATAAATACACATTGATGGGGTCTGAACTGGCAGAGACTGAACAAGAGGGAGTTGTAGTAGATAACTCACTGAAAATGTCGAGACAGTGTGTGACTGCAATAAAAAAGGCTAAGGCTATGCTGGGGATTATTAGGAAGGGTATTGAAAACAGATCAGCCAATATCATAATGCCCCTATATAAATCAATGGTGCGACCTCATTTGGAATACTGTGTGCAGTTCTGGTCACCACACCTTAAAAAGGATATTATAGCTTTGGAAAAAGTGCAGAAAAGGGCAACTCGAATGATAAAAGGGTTGGAACACTTTCCCTATGAGGAAAGGTTAAAGCGCTTAGGGCTCTTTAGCTTGGAGAAAAGACGACTGAGGGGTGACATGATCGAGGTTTATAAGATTATGCATGGGAAAGAGCAGGTAAAGAAAGAGGTACTTTTCTCCCTTTCTCACAATACAAGAACCCGTGGGCACTCCATGAAATTGCTGAGCGGTCGGGTTAGAACGGATAAAAGGAAGTACTTCTTCACCCAAAGAGTGATTAACACTTGGAATTCACTGCCACAGGAAGTGGGTGGCCCCGCCCCCAGAGTGCCCGGCGTGTCCACGTCACTTCCAGGCGGGGAATGGGCCTCTGGGGCGGGGGATTTCCCCGCCCCCCGGGGGGACTTGGCAAGCCTAGAATTAAATAAGCATATGGAGCAGAGGTCCATCAGTGGCTATTAGCCACAAGGTATAGCTAGGGGCTCTGGGGCAAGTGATGCTCTGTCTTCTTGGTGCTTGGGGGGGGGTCAACAGTGGGAGGGCTTCTAATGTCCTGGCCCCACTGGTGGAACTCCTCCTGATGGCACCTGGTATTTCTGGCCACTGTGTGACACAGAGTGTTGGACTGGATGGGCCTTTGGCCTGATCCAACATTGGCATCTCTTATGTTCTTATGTTCTTAAAGACATCTGGAGCCAAAAACTGATATTCATCCTCAGACTGAGAGCATCTCATGGGCCAGACCTCTGTTTCTCACTCTGCTGTCCTTAATGGCACCCCCGGTCCAATTTGCCTTGCGCTATGCATAACAGAGAGAGACCTGAATTACTACCATCAAATTCAGCCCAGACGTTTCAGACTTCTCTGAAAGACCTTGTGTCTACTGTCGGGGCAATCTCTGGATGTGGCCCGTTCTTCTCCCGGAATCACAGCTGATTTCCAGACTAGGTCAGTTCCCCTCAACAAAATGGCAGTTCACAGGGCAAACTCAATGGTATACCATAGATGCTAGGTAAAAATCCCTCCTCAAATCGTTCCCTCCACAGGCACCACGCTCAAATTCTCAAGGAATGTCCGAGGTAAAGAGCTGGCATCCCTGTGTCTATCGTCACCTTGATGTGATCAGTGAAGGAATGGCACCCAGTCCACACTCAGAGACATACTAGCTACCAGTTTTTTTGTAGAAAAAGCCCAGCAGGAACTCATTAGCAAAATAGGTTACACCCAACAGCAGGAACTCATTAGCATATTGGGCCACACCCCTGACAGCACAGCTGATTAGCACATTAGGCCGCACCCCCACGTTACCAGAAGTGTGGTCATCCAGCCACACCCACCTTTTGCTTGTTATTCTGTTTACCTTGTTTGTGGTCAGAACCCAGGGCCTTTTTCTGTAGCAGGAACGCCTTTGCATGTTAGGCCACCCACCCCTAATGTAGCCAATCCTAATGAGTTTCTGCTGTTGGGTGTGGCCTATTATGCTAATGAGTTCCTGCTGGGCGTGGCCAACTTGGGAGCCAGCCGGAACTCCGTTCCTGTGCGTTCCTGCCCAAGAATAGCCCTGCTAGCTACCATCATTGCTTCTTGTGCCACAGTCTTGGGGGCGGAGCCCAATTCCATAGGTGGGTGGGTCATCTGGAGTTGCTCCGCCTCCTCCCACATTAGCATAATGCTCCAAGCAAAAGGGATCCCTCCCCTCTCACCTTGGATATCAAATGTTTTCGTCTTGTGGACGTAATCTGCCCGGTTGACGCAGCTGGAGGCCTGGCTGTAATCCTTGTGGGCGTTGGCTTCTTCCATCCACTCCAGATAGCCCCTCCCAATCAACTCCACCTTCACCTGGGGATTGATCAGCGTGCTGTGGAGGCGCAGCACCACCTCCCCCTCCACCTCTGACCCAGACAGGTACACATCCCTTGGCACCACCAGCTCAAGGGACTTCACCACTGACATGGATGGGCACATGAGGGACAGGCCGCTTCCTTCTCGTGCCCTGGAATCCCTTGCAGGGCTGATGTCGGTGTGCACTTTCGATGATGTCAGAACATTTGTGACATCATAGTGGGTGTGTTTCTTTTTTTTTTTTGAAATATTTTTTAGGTTTTCTTGTGCATTACAGCATGCATTCATGAAATTTTAAACAGTTTCAATTGTCAGAGTCATTTAGTTCATACATACTTGGTATTTTAAACCATTTCAGTTATTAAAGTCAGTTAGTTCATATATTATTTTCTTTTATCCACTTATAAAACATTTTTCATCTACTATGGAATATCTCCATATCTTTGTTCTCTAGGATTGTAGTCAGTTTGTCTATTTCTACTACCTCTTGAACTTTATTAATCAGTTCATTACATGATGATATCCTTTCAAGTTTCCAAATTTTGGCAAATATAATACGAGCTGCCGTGATAATATATCCCATAGCATATTTTTGTTCGTTTTTTAACTTATCTGGAAATATATTTAGCAAAAACATTTCTGGTCTAAAAGGCAGTTCTACTTCATACATATCTGTTAGTATCTTATGTACCTTCTGCGATTCCAGCGATAGTGGGTGTGTTTCAAAGAGGGATGGGGAATGGGGGGGGTCAGCGGGGTGAGGATGGGGGCAAGGGGATCCAGGGCACCCACTGAGGCAATACAGATATCAATTCTATTGGAAGGGAGCAATGTTCCCTCTAAGCTGTGGAGTCTTGTGAGCAGGAATTCTACTTTGTGAGCAAGCCATTTGTCTGCTGCATCGATTAGTTTGCTCTGGAGCCCTCCTTCCTGAGCCAAGACAAAGATGTGTGAGCCGGAGGCTAAAAAACTGTGAGCTAGCTCACACTTACTCAGCTTAGAGGGAACACTGATGTTGTGCAAACAAAATGTATCCAATGAGCTCTGAGTTGCTTGGATGGAGAGCAAAATACAATGTCTCTGAGCATGTACAGAGTACTTTTCCTTCCACACCGAATAGCCCAGTTCCAATACAGAGAGGGAAGGAAACAGTTTCAGAGATTGGGGGAGAGGTGACCTATTCTAGGCCAATTTTATACTCCGCCCCCCCTATAATCTAATGTCAATAAAGAAGAAACCCACACTTGCGCATGCGCCTCTGCGTGCCCGGGCAAGCGGAGCGGGAGGAGGTGGAGGGAATTGCAAATAAACTACGTAAAAGCCCCGCCTCTTCTCCCGAATTCCCGCCACCACTGGCCAATCAGGAAGCTCCGAACGCTGCCCCGCGATTTTCCGCGCCAAACTCCAAAGCCGGGAGGCGTAAAAAGCTACCTTTTGCGCGGGCTGGCGTTATTACCGCTGCCGGATTGCCTCTTCTAGCCGGAGTTGGTTCCCTTCCAGCTACATTTGTTTTTTTTAGTTTGGTCCCTTTGAAATCTGCATCAAAAACTAGGCGTCTTTGGAGATTTTGGGCTGCCAGTTTTTGTTTTTTTATCAAAAGGCGCCTTTTCTGCAAGACATCCGGGAGCCAAAAGTTGATTTTGCGAGGTGAGTGATTTTCAGTTCGTTTCTCTCTGGAAATCTCCGACGAAAGGGGTTTTTGGGAGTTTCGCGGTACTGATCTTAGGATCCTGTAAGGGACCCCAAATAAGCAAGAAGACTGCAAGCGTTTCTTACTCTCTGGCCCTACGCTTTTCTGTTCACTGTTTAGACAAAAGCGGTACCTTCTTACTTCCAAGTAAGCCCAATGGGACAGGGACATCGATTGCACGCTTATTCTGAAGTCAGCCGTACCGAATCCTACGGCGTCTACTCTCCCCCCCCCTCCGGGAAATACATTTACAGATGTGTAGCCTGAACTTACTCGGGAGTAAGCCGTAAATGAGTTCCATGGAGTTGGCATGCGTAGAATCCGCGGCTTTACAAACCCAGCCTGTGCGTAGAATTAAGCGAAAGGGGGCTTGGGTGCCTTGGTTTCCTGCCCCATAAGTGAGTGAGAAGCATGCATCGATCCTGCTGCAAAAACGCTTCTGGGTTACATTAAATTACCTAAGGAAGTCTGTCCCAGGGACCTTTTGGATGCAGGAGAGGGGAAAATGCTTGGGGGGGGGGGTTACGGTTGCAATCCTGCAGATATTTTGTCAGTCCAGTTCCGCCTGCACGCACCCTTCTCTTCTCCATTTCTGCCTTCACCGCTCATTAATATGGGTGGGTTGAGAATAGTTTCGACACTACTGTGGCTTAAGCACGCTAAGGATTGGCACTTTGGATTAGACACCTTGAGGTCTTGTTTCCCACAGTGTGGAGTGGGGGGTCGGCTAGATAGTTCTGAAAATCTCTCCTACTCTCATTTTCTTAGAAGTGGAGGGTATAGTGCCTTTGAACATGGAGGCTCCATGGATCTACTGCAGTTAGTACTGGTGTAGTAGGAGGGTCCATGGTGCTACTGCTGATAGACCCCACGTGGCCCATGGTTTGATTGAAATATTTCTTGAGAGCCATCTGTGGGAGTAGCTATCGCTCCATCTTGTGGTGACTAACACAAGCCATGAGCTGGATTCTCTATTGCTGAGTTCTCTGTTGTCCTCAAGGCTTGTGGTTTCCGTGCCAAACTCCAAACATACAGATTCCCCTGTGCTTTCTATGCTCGCTGCAACCCACCTGTTGGTTTGTGTGCCCAAACTGAAAAGCTCCCATTCTGATGCTCAGATCTCTCTCTTGCAAGAGCTCTCAGATGGGTAGCTGTGCTGGACTCAGACTTTGTTCCCAAGTGTCCTGACACTCACAAATCCCACACTGTCGCTTTCACACACCAAATAATGCACTTTCAATCCACTTTGCACCTGCATTTTACTGTGTGAAATGGCAAAACCCACTTGCAAATGGTCGCTGAAGTAAATTGAAGCTGCATTATTTAGCATGTGCGAAGGATGTTGTTCCTCAGGGGTCAAGTGAAAGTACGTAAGGTTGCAGCCAATAATATTCCAGCCAATTAATTGCTGTAGACGGCATTAAAACCAGGAAGCTGTTCCTCCACCATCAGTTGAGTAGGTGTGGTTTGGGAGTGGGGGGGGGAGATTTAAAAATTCTTGGACCCAGGAGGCAATGCTACCTCTAAGCTGTGGAGTCTTGTGAGCAAAAATCCTGCTCTGTGAGCTACTGACAATAAAGCTGTGAGCAAGCGATTTGGCTGCTGCATAAATGAGTTTGCTCTGGCGGCTTCCTTCCTGAGCGAAGGCAAAAATGCGTGAGCCGGAGGCTAAAAGACTGCGAGCTAGCTCACACTGACTCAGCTTAGAGGGAACACTGCCTGAGGTGGAAAAGGCTCTCAAGCTTATGGTGACCCTTGTAGGGTTTTCAAGGCAAGCGATGTCCTGAGATAGTTTGCCTCCGCATAACAGCCGTAGACTTTTTGGGTGTTGAGATATGACGGAGGTCGCGCTAGCCTGGTCCAGCCATACCAAGGCAAGAGACAAAAGGTGGTTTGCCATTTCCTGCCTCCACGTGGCAGCCCTGGATTTGCTTGGTGGTTTCCCATCCAAATACTAAGTTCTGAGATCTGAGAAGATCAGGCTCCCTTGGCCCATCCAGGTCAGGGAGCCCAGTGTTCCCTCTAAGCTGAGTCAGTGTGAGCTAGCTCACAGCTTCTTAGCCTCCGGCTCACACGTTTTTGTCTTAGCTCAGGAAGGTTGGCTCCAGAGCAGACTAATTTAGGCAGCAGCCCAATCGCCGGCTCACGGCTTTAATGCCAGTCGCTCACAAAGCAGGATTTTCGCTCACAAGACTCCACAGCTTAGAGGGAGCATTGTCAGGGACCCAAATTCCCTGCATGCTTTTGGGCTGAGTGTGCCTCTGTTGCTCAGCCTGACTCATCTCGTAGGGCTGGTCCGAGATAAGTGGGCTGCCCCACAGTCATCTGGTGTGTGTGGTTTGGGAAGAGATACCGGGCGGGGGTGGTTCTAGACTGTCTGGGCCATGGGTTGTCACCCCGTTTGTGGATTTCAGCTCTGGGGAGTGGCCTAGCGCGGGAAGAACTGGCCCTCCCGCCTGGCAGGTTGAGACAGGTCTTTGGCAAGCAGCAGTGCTCCCTGGCAGGTAGCAGAAGGATCTAGGGCAATTTGTTCATCTTTGTAGCATGTCTTCCTCAGTGTGGCCTGGCCCCTCCAGAAGAGGGCGGGGATGTTGTGGGCATCTGGAAGTGGTCCAGGGCAGGAGCTGCTGTGGACTAGAGTCTACTTCCTAAAATGCCTGCATTGCATCGCAAGTTGTCATATATGCTTACTACACCCCCATCATGGAGGGAAAATTGTAAATCGGAGGGGGATGAGTGGGTTGGAAGCAATGTTCCCACTAAGTTGAGTTAGTGTGAGCTAGCTCACAGTCTTTTAGCCTCCAGCTCAGATTTTTGTCTGAGCTCAGGAAGGAGGGCTCCAGAGCAAACTAATTTAGGCAGCAGCCAAATCGCTTGCTTACAGCTTTAATGTCAGTAGCTCGCAAAGTAGAATTTTTGCTCACAAGACTCTGCAGCTTAGAGGGAGCAGTTGGTTGGAAGGATATTTTCTGCGATGGTCCCTCCTCTTTGGAAAAGCCTCCCAAACACCTCCTTTATATAGGAGCCAGGCGACATCACTTCTGTTTACCTGGGATTTTAAGAAGGGGCTCATCCTTTCAGCCTTTTAATGGTTGGCTTCTGTTTTATGGTCAGTTTTTAATCTATATTTTTAATCTATGTTTTGGTTTTATATAAATTGTAAGGTCCCTTGAGGAGGGCTCTGAAGAAGTGGCCTAGATGTATAAGTCAATAGATAAAAGCCGCTCAAAGCTGGTGTAGCAGCTGAGACTACTGGTCCAGGAAGCCCAAAGTTCAGATTTTCTCTAGCCATCCTTTCTCTTCATCTCAGTCCCCTATCTGCAACAGGGGGGCTTACCTACAGGGCTGTTGTAACAGTTGCCGGCGATGATGAATACCAAAAGTGTGATTCAGGTTCGATACAGCCATGGTCTCTCAAAGC